AGTATGCAAGAAAATCAAATCTCACAACTGATCTTGAATTCGAAGTTTCAGATGATGTATTGTCTAATACGTGATGTATTATCTACCATTTGATAGGTTAATGGGCTTATGAATTATTAATGAGTTTTTGGAGTATTATCAAATACCTATTAATTTTGTCCGCTCGTCGTCAGCCGATTTACGTAGGATTTCTATTAGACCAAGCACAGGACAATCTTTTATTTGTGGAGCGCTATTCCATTGTATGCACCGAGCGCCTTTTCACTGACAACTCACTTGACGTGGAAACTGTGAGAAACTACCCAACATGAACATGGAAATATCTCCACCGTCAAATATGGATTAATGGACAACCTGTAAGCTTATGCGCCAAGTGAGGAAAACGAATGAACTCGCTCCAAGGACAACTGGAGAAGAAGCAAGGAAGTAAATTAATTTGTTTGTTCTCATGTTAATTGTCTTGCAGTAATTCGTTAGGATCTTCTCTCAGTCTCTCAGCCTCCGGGTCCTTTTCGAGTGAGCGGTGACAAGCCTGGGGCGAGCTAGAGGAAGCAGGTGAAGGTGCCGAGCCTCAGATCGATGCGTTTGGACGATTCTTTCAGAAATCTGATGGGATTGCTAGGTTTTCATGACAAGGGAATTTATAGGTATTTAATAGTTTTTCATGTAGATATTTGTGTTTTTAACCCTAATGAACCCCGGGAGTGACCAGTTTTTAATTTCTCCTCACAATAATACTACTGAGTCATTCTTTAAGATAATGAGAATATGGCAAATGATCACCAACTTAACAACCTTTGATTGTTAAACAAATTCTCCTTGTCAGTACCAGAGGAATTATACAGAGAAAAGTATAGAGAACATTGATACTGATGTTAGGGTGTAGAGAGGTTTAAGTTTCAGATAATGCTAAATGATCACATTCCTTCTGGCATTAATAACAAATCAGAAAGCACATCTCGCACACCAGTACTTTCGATAAGTGACCCTTTGTTTTGGCAAAAACCAGCTCTTTCTGTTTTTTTCTTTCTTCAGGGTCCCGAGACTGAAGAAGTTTTCCTCACTAACAAATTACAGTATATTTATATTTTCTTTTGTTTCTATCCGCTGGATGAAAAGACGGTGACATGGTGTACACTCAAATAAAACCAATTTATTAAAAACTGGGTAGGAAATAATACATTTATCCTTTCAGGCCCCCAATATCTCAGTAGTAATTCTTCTTACTGTCTTTTATACAATTCTTATAATTTTAGTTTAGAGAATTTTGTATTTGATCAACTAATAATACCTAATTGAAATTTTTCTTTATTCTCATCACTTGTCTGCTTGATATTGTATTGATATGGTTAGGAGAAATTTTGTCTTGGTCATTTACAATGTATGAGAGTTGAAGGTTTACATTGACAAGAGATATAATTCTCAACCAATTGTTCACATTAACAAAAAATAAACAAACCAATGCTAAGAAATGTTTCTTTTTTTATTGCTTATGTTTTCCAAGTTACTGGCTAGTGTTAAAACTATTTCCGTGGCTGTCGTGAACACATGAATAGAAGCCACTAAAGAACTGAAACCATCAACTCAACATAGCTAGACATAAATCTTCAAAAAAAAGTTCTGATTTTAAGGTAAACATAATTAGTACTAAAGTTTACCACAAAACAGTGTGCTTAGTTAGATCTGAATCAGCCTTCACTTTGGTGGTTGTTTTCTAGATCTTACTTGGTAATAAGAGTAAACTTATATACATGCAAACCCCAATGCTAAGGAGTAAGTTTTAGAAACCATGCATGTGTATCTGGTCTGGTTTGGCCAGTTTCAGCTGTTTCAGAAAATCACTGATACTCTGACGCTGGTCACCTTGTGGCTGTATCACCTCTCCATATTCTGGGTTTTTAAAAACTGTTCCATTGCAGTTAAATTCCTGCGAAGGCGAAAAAAGGAAAAATATTGAACACATGGTCCTCATTGTTTCAAGGGTAGTTACCGCTATCTACTGCACTTTCATGCTACAGCTTGCTTGCATTCAGAATATGGATGTTTCAGAACACGTCAATGGAACAAGGCATGTTCCTCTTTAGGACTAAGTTAGGTATATTGATCATGACTCTCCCTGTAACACATGAAGGGTTAAACAAGCAAGCCATTTATGCATTAATCCTATTAACATCAATAAAGATAATGGAATTGAAATTCCTGAAGCATGGATGCCTTACTATCAAAAAGCATGATAGCCAATCGGTAAAAAGGCAAAGCTATAAGGGAATGATATCCAAAACTCAGAATAATAATGAGGATCAAAATGCACCGATGACAGCGCACCATAACCCGCCAATAACATCAAATTATGGTGTTACAAATAGCGACACATAACCTTTCAGCTTCCTCACCTAACGAAGTAATTAGCAGTCGAAACGTCTCAATTGATTAGCCTAAATCTTACATCTTGGGAAAATGATTAAATTTATATTATCAATAAAAAACAGCACTTTCAATAACACCTTTCACAATAATACTTAAGCAATTATCTGCACTTTCTATCTGTTTACCAGCATAATAACCCACTAATGGGATGTTGAGGTAACACAAGAAAAGGTTATAAATCATGTGCAAGACGCCAATGATTCATTCACTTTTCTCTTGTTCTCCCAACATCCTAAGTGGGTTATTTTGCCAGTTAACTGATAGTATTTAAGGTCTCCTGCTTTATAAACTAAACTTAAAACAAAACAACAGTATGTTTTAATTTTCTATGGGTTACTCGTGCAATAAAGCTGGGTTTATAACCAATCAGGGCACTTGTAGGTGCTTCAAAAATATTTATAAACCCAAGCTATTCTCAAATTAATCATAAAAATTATAATTTCTTGATGCTTCTATTGTGATTAGTTTAAAAAACTCCAATTTTCCACTAATTCACCAGCGGTCGTTGACTTTAAAACCATTTTCTTTTGCAAATTTCCTCTTCGTTTGTACGGTCTACATGGGTGTAATTTGATCAAGGATTCAGTGAAAAGAAAAAAAAAACCGGCCAGATAATTTTATTTTGTTGAATAATCAATGTACTTAGGCAAAAATTTCGGCCTCTGTATCACCCCCCAGATATTTGGGAAGACGGCAGCACCCAGTGGGAGAGGCTCGCGATTCTCATCACTAGTTCTCCGCGTCTACACTTGGAACGCCTCGGAGGAAAGCGACTCGAGCGTTGTAACAGAAGCTCGAGTAATGAGGTTCTTATCCTTACCCTAAGGAATAATACCAAACAGAAACAGCCCTAAGAGAGATTTACAGGACATTAATGAGGTCTTATTCTGTTCTTTGGTCCTCATCAAAGCTGCTTGACTAATGTGCAGGACATCTGGGAGAGCTTTTGTTTGTGCCATAAAATCACATGGAAACCATCAAATTAAGCAACGGTGGTTCGCTACCCGCTCTTGGCCTTGGGACATGGAAAAGCAAACCAGATAAGGTCACCTCTACCGTAGAAATGGCGATAAAAGCTGGATACAGACACATCGACTGCGCTGCGGTTTATGGTAATGAAAAAGAGGTCGGACAGGCTTTAAAGTCTTGTATCGGAAAAACGGTACGGAAATTTTATGGACTGATTCTCTCTGATTCTCTCTGACCCTCAGTCAGTAAAGTCGAGCGAAAGAGCGGGCTGGGAAAGCGACAAACTTACAAAATATTGCAAAAAAAATGTTTAAAGTTTTTGCAGGGCTTTTATCCGGTCTAGATTTGCCTATTTTGTTTACATCGCTTCTTTCACCGCAAAAGGACGTGCGTGTGCCTACCAAGGAGCGAGAATATGCATACTGATGTTGAGTACGAAGGGTTAATTAAACCCTCATCATTTCCATTATTCTCATGACCTTAATATTTATATAATATTAATATAATATTAATATTAATATAAGGGTTAATTAAACCCTCATCATTTCCATTATTCTCATGACCTTAATATTTATATAATATTAATATAATATTAATATTAATATAATTTAAACCATTATTCATTTCCATTATTCTCATGACCTTAATATTTATAATATAATATATTAATATAATTAATTAAACCCTCATCATTTCCATTATTCTCCTGACCTTAATATTTATATAATATTAATATTAATATAAGGGTTAATTAAACCCTCATCATTTCCATTATTCTCATGACCTTAATATTTATATAATATTAATATAATATTAATATTAATATAAGGGTTAATTAAACCCTCATCATTTCCTTTATTCTCATGACCTTAATATTTATATAATATTAATATAATATTAATATTAATATAAGGGTTAATTAAACCCTCATCATTTCCATTATTCTCATGACCTTAATATTTGAGTCAGGAGTGACACTGTAAGGAGAAATTAGATGCTAGTCAGTCTTAGGGGTTAAAGGGTTAAATTGATAAAATTACTGGAGTATTTATGAGAATACAAAGGTTTGCATTATTATACGATTAAGAGTATCTCCTTTTTTCTTTTCTTTAAATATATTTATTTTGGCATGTTAAACCACAATATTTTTGTCAAAAGCCTTGCAAGAAATTTCCAAAAATTTAAGCTCAGAAAACACTTCTTTTCCAAGGTCACACATTTGTTTAAAATTCTCTTGAATTGACTAACTAATCACCTTTGAAAAAGGATTTAAAATTTTCTTTCCTTGAAGAACTAACCGCGTTCGAAACCTAAAAACTGTCACACTTTGCTTGGCTTGTTCACTAAACTTATGACTTAAAAAAATTAATTGGAGTTTTTTAACTTCGGAACTCATATAAAGAAATACTCTACACGCTGTCTTGTTTCAAATTAATAAACTTAGATGTCTGATAAGCATTTTACAGAAATGCTTTCCTCTGTGTATCGATCCGAGTTGTCCTTCGCAGATGGCGTCCTCTTTTTACAGGCTTGTTATTAAATAGTTGTGAGCTTTACTAAATCTAGTTCATTCTGCTACAGAGGTTTTATCAAAGTCATGGCTCTTAAGGTGCGTTAGGCACCGGCCAATTTCCAAAATCAAATGTCACGTTGTCGCCCATGATCATAAATGGCGCCCATTGAGAAACTTTGTCAAAGCCGTTATTTCTCATCCACTTCCTGGCCTTGTGGAGAGACTCACTGGCGCTTTCACCGCGGAACAAATGTTTGTAGAAACAAGTCATGAACTGCTCTGTGGCTATGTCATCCAGCCTCCATCGTGCCGCTAACACTGAACGAGCTCCGGATCCCAAGAACGCTCGGGCAATTCCAATAACTCCCTCGGTTCTAATCTGTCCACGAGCACTGTGACAACAACTAAGCACCACCAGTTTAGCTCGCAACTGAGTTTTTGAAATATCTGCCATCGTCAAAAGATACTCTTCTTCTCGAGGAAAAGGTGGGAGTTGGGTAGGGTGCTTAGGAGAAAGAGCAATCTCCCCTCTTTCGGGATCTCCATGCGCAGCAATGTGTATCAGGCTCACTGAATTTATCGCTTGGAGTACAGAATGCTTTGTAGCGGACTCTCCTATCAAAGGCCTTACGCCAAGAAGTGTTCCAATCATCTCTGCTTCCTTTCTTGCACACGGCAATGGTATCATATTTCTGCACCTTCCCTTGTAAATCACCTTTCCAACCACAGGGTCACCCACTACCAGTGCCCCGGTCTGACTGTGATAGTCTGGAGGACTGTCTTGAACAAGCTTTAGAGTCGTGAGAGAGGGAACCAACCGAATCCTGCATGTCTCTGATAAATACTTGCCTCCTTCGTCAGCCAAGGCTGCAAATGGCACTTGGTACACACAGGAATCAGGGACAATTATGATCTCGGGCTGCTTCAGTAAACTGGCCACGGGAGCAATGATTATCTTGTAACACAAGTCAAGACTTGTTTTGAAATCTTCGGTGTCGTAGTCACGCAGCACTGAGCGGTTGTCGTAGTGAAGTGACATCAGTTCTTTAAAAAACTCATCTACCTCAGGGACTATTCCGGTCACCTTGTTGGGGTCCAGGTTCACTTTCTTTTCTGAAAAAAGAATAGCTCCCGTTGCTTTTATTATCCAAAACCGCACCTCATCTCCACCAACCGAAATGTACAGGCATGCACAGTCTGCTTCTTTTCTGATGATCCCTTGAATGCCACACCAAGACTGTGGATCGCTTGAGATCTGCTCTTGAACAGAGTACCGAGCTGTCATCAAGTCGGCCAGGCCTCTTGCCCTTCTCAGCTCCTCGACGTAAAGGGCACGTTCAGGCTCTCCGATGGAAGAAAGCAACCCACTTAACAACTTGTAGGGAAAGGTGCCGTACTCTTCTAAAAGAGATATTTGCAACTCATCGTTTTCTTTAAGAAAACCTCTCAAAGTTTCGAACTTTTGAATGACTTGAAAAAGATACGAAGAAGCTTCCTCAAGATGACCTTTTGACATCATTAACACCGATAGATCACAAAGGCAGCAAAACTCGTTCAAAATGTGTCCAATATCCCTACTTAATAGTAGAGCTTGCTTAACGTATTCTTCGGCTATGTCATTTTTACCAAGAGATTGGTAACACAATCCTAACTTCTGGTAGCTGACTACTATTTTTTCTCTATCACCGATGTCCATACAAATTGTAAGGGCTTTCTCGCAATATTCTTGAGCCTTGTCATATTCACCACGCTTAAGAGAAATTGAACCAAGGTGTATGTAGTCTACTGCTTCTCCAATTCTATCATCGATACCCTTTCTAACTTCCATTGCCTTCTTTAGATAGTCGTCAGCCTTTGCATACAAGCCGAGTAAGAGAAACGTTGATGTAAGGTTTCTATAGCTTGTTGCTTCTCCATCCCTGTCACCAATTTCTATTGTGATAGCGAGTGCTTTCTCTTGATATTCTCGGGCCTTGTCATATTGACCGAGTGATTCGAACAAAGTTCCTAGGTTTCCGTAGCTTGTTGCTTCTCCATCTCTGTCACCAATTTCTATTCTGATAGCGAGTGCTTTCTCTTGATATTCTCGGGCCTTGTCATATTGACCGAGTGATTGGAACAAAGTTCCTAGGTTTCCGTAGCTTGTTGCTTCTCCATCCCTGTCACCAATTTCTATTCTGATAGCGAGTGCTTTCTCTTGATATTCTCGGGCCTTGTCATATTGACCGAGTGATTGGAACAAAGTTCCTAGTTTTCCGTAGCTTGATGCTTCTCCATCCCTGTCACCAATTTCTATTTTGATAGCGAGTGCTTTCTCTTGATATTCTCGGGCCTTGTCATATTGACCGAGTGATTGGAACAAAGTTCCTAGGTTTCCGTAGCTTGTTGCTTCTCCATCCCTGTCACCAATTTCTATTTTGATAGCGAGTGCTTTCTCTTGATATTCTCGGGCCTTGTCATATTGACCGAGTGATTGGAACAAAGTTCCTAGGTTTCCGTAGCTTGTTGCTTCTCCATCCCTGTCACCAATTTCTATTTTGATAGCGAGTGCTTTCTCGTGATATTCTCGGGCCTTGTCATATTGACCGAGTGATTGGAACAAAGTTCCTAGGTTTCCGTAGCTTGTTGCTTCTCCATCCCTGTCACCAATTTCTATTTTGATAGCGAGTGCTTTCTCTTGATATTCTCGGGCCTTGTCATATTGACCGAGTGATTGGAACAAAGTTCCTAGGTTTCCGTAGCTTGTTGCTTCTCCATCCCTGTCACCAATTTCTATTTTGATAGCGAGTGCTTTCTCTTGATATTCTCGGGCCTTGTCATATTGACCGAGTGATTGGAACAAAGTTCCTAGGTTTCCGTAGCTTGTTGCTTCTCCATCCCTGTCACCAATTTCTATTGTGATAGCGAGTGCTTTCTCTTGATATTCTCGGGCCTTGTCATATTGACCGAGTGATTGGAACAAAGTTCCTAGGTTTCCGTAGCTTGTTGCTTCTCCATACCTGTCACCAATTTCTTTTGTGATATCGAGTGCTTTCTCTTGATATTCTCGGGCTTTATCGTATTGACCATGCGATTGGAACATTTTTCCGAGCTTTGCGTAACACAGTGCCTGGCCATGTATGTTTCCCATCGTTTTCATGATGTTGATTGCTGATTCGTAAAATTTCCAGGCCTCCATTAATTTACTTTGTACCTGAAGTATTTCTGCCAGGTTTAAATGTAGCCATCCTTTTCCAGTGGTGTCATTAGAATCCAGGTATAGGAGGAGTTCCCTCAGGTATTTTTCTGCACTTATGTAATCCTTTACATAAACGTAAGCACTGATTATTCCCTTGTAGATGGCTCGGAACGTAAAGTTTGCCAATGAACGATCGATAGCCTTCGCCTGACTGTGTAATATAATCAAACATTCCTTGTAAACCTCGATGGCTTGCAACACGCGACCAGTTTTGCGAAGGAACTCGGCGACCACTATACCTATGAAGATAGCTGATATAGCTTCTTTTATGCTGTTCATCTTGACCCTGTTTCTTCTCAGTTTGAAAAAAAAAAAGGAGAAATTAGTGAAAACTTTTACACGGACTGTTTATCTTTAAATTTCAATCTTTATCTTCCCCTCCCCGCTTTGTATTCTTTTTGTGTTCACGCGCGGCGCACGTGATTTCACAGTTAAGTTAGCAAATCACGTCAAAGAACTCTAACCTTAACATTGGAAAACTGAGGTAGACATTTTTCGCATACTTTTATTTTATTTTATTTTAGCCAAATGTTGTGGTTCATTTAACAAGTTTAATACATATTTTCTATGGAGTTTGGACTCTAGCCCCTTGTATCGTAGATCGATATTTTACATTGTCCATCAAAGAGGCCTAGAGGAACACACCTTTGCCGTCTATTCTACTGGAGTGTTCGTTGCACTGTCACGCGAATCACGCAGATCAGAGACCAACTGGAAAATTAAACCGGCTAACAGAACACTACAAGTTTCATTTGACTTGCTGATTCATATTTAGTTCACAGTAATTCAATTCAATTTTGTAAGAAGGAGCAATGCTTTTAACAAAACCGATTTACTGGGCTCTCGAGGGAGCTCGTGTTGCATCAGTCTGCTTACTGCTAATTCGAAACTGCCCAGACAATATCTTGAAAGCAATCGCATTTCCTTGCAACAAGCTCACGTTTCTAGAAATTAAATTAGAGAGTAGGTTTTCTTTGATCTGTTTCCTAAATATATATTTTGACTCACAGGTTTTGCATGTATTCGGAGAATGTTCCATATAAGCTACCTTTGTGTGAAGGTCCTGTACTCTATGGCGTGTTTGCTATGATTATAATTGTCAGTACATAATCGATGTGCACTTTATTTGATGATCTTGCAATTTGATTGTGTAAAACCTTGAAAAAAGTGCAGTATTTGTCGATGCTTTTGAATAAGTATTATAGGATATCGAAATATAAACAAATGATCTCTTTTCCCTTATATATCTCATTCAATGGAAGAAGCATAGCTTCTTTTCAAAGGGGGGGGGGGGGGGGGGGGGGGGCAGTGAGATCTCTATATGCTGTTAATGTTGTTATTCCTATGATAATTTTCTTTTGTAGCTTTCATAACGATACTAGTGTTGTTTGGATTTCTAAAACAGTCAGCATTGATGCAACTTACCTTTAGCAGTTAATTAGAAACGTTCCTTATTCATTTTGATGAAGGCAGAGGGACTTGTATAAGATCTTCCGAGGGAGGTCAACTTTTTCCTAGAAAATAGAAGTAAAAAATCCATGGTGAAAAGTTGGGAATTTATAAAAATTATTTTTTTTGTGTGTCTTATGCCAATCTGGCAAAGTCTCTTTCGGAGTCAATATTTTTCCACTGAATAAGCGATCGCCCAAATTTCGTACAAAAATTTTGTTCCCATTCATAGACTGCAAATGTAATGAGCGTAAAGTAAATAAACATTGTTTCTTTTCGCCATAAAAATGATATGTTACCCGTTGCGTTCTGGCAACGGGTAACTTAAACCCACCCCACGGGTCTTATACCCACCCCAATTATCCATTACTATTGGAAAGTGAAACTTCCGGTAAATTCCGAGTAATCAGAACTACCTGACATCAGAAGAAAAAAATCACTCGTTCTTTGAAAGAAGTTTCGACGCCATGAAAATGATAAGTTACCCGTTGCGTTCTGGCAAATGATTATTGGACGACTCAGGAGACAAACAATCACTCGATACCAACATTTATATACATTCATGATATCTTCCTGAGCCAGCCATTTTAATATTTAGGAATAGCATTGGAGGTCATGTTTATGACTGGCGAAAAGTTTCATTTTTCACAGAGTTTTTACTTTCGGGGTAAAACGTCATTACTCTTGTGTGCCGTAATATTTTTAATTTTGGATTTTATAGCGTCAATCAAAAACTAAGGAGATCGCCCGGCGCAATCTTCCGTTGAGTGTTAGAGACAAATTTAATTTTCAAATCGTTTCCAGTTCTGCTGTTTATGTATTAACGGCCTGTACTTCATGGATCAGTTTAGAACCAAAAACCCAATTGCTTAGAATATTACGTGATAGTTTATAAGTTCCTGTTTTTACTGCTTTGATCACAGTTCTCATTTTTCCTTCAAGTTATCAAAAATTGGTAACAACAGCTTCACCTACTCAGACTACTCAGGAGGGTAACCAAAAGGATCTTCGGTTGCTTGTAACCAGCTCCCCCAGCAGTAATGATAAAGAAACATCCATATCATTGTTCGCTTGACCCATTCAGGAAAAAAGGCTTTTCAAGAATTTGAAAAGAATTTTCAAATTCTTTAAAAGCTACAAGCTACGGAAACCTTGGAACTTTGTTCCGATCACTTGGTCAATATGACAAGGCCCGGCAATATCAGGAAAAGCGCTCGCTATCAGAATAGAAATTGGCGACAGGGATGGAGAAGCAACAAGTTACTTCAACCTAGGAACTTTGTTCCAATCACTCGGTCAATATGATAGGGCCCGAGAATATCAGGAGAAATAGAATTTTCAACTTTTAATAATTCGGCTAATCGCCCGGTGCACTACTTTTCAAGTTTAAATCGTTTACCCGAATAAAGAGAATGTATAAACTCAAATAGATGACCGATGTTGTATATTTTTAGGAAAATTCCTCTTTGTAAGAGTGGTTCAGGTTCAATTTTCCTCTTTCCCTCCCCTCCCTAAAAGAGGTATCATTTCTCACTTACATGAAGCGAGATCCTCTCGATCATGACATCTCGTGATTGTTACAATATTTCCGTCTTATTTAGATTAACACCCGTAAGAGATAAACGGAGAGAGCAATGTGTTGTCTTTTAAGGGTACAACACTGATCAACTCAGCCGTTCCTCTTATTTACCAACTTTGTCTTCGATGACGCAAATCGCACTGGAAAATGAACAGCTCATGAAGTGATAGTCATCGAACACAAATAGATTACCGTTTCAAGACAGAAGCTCCAATTCAGCACTGTAACAAGTCTTGATTGTAATTTTGGGTTAAAAATCCAACGACTCTTGCAAAACAATGTGTACTGAGACCGGATGTTACATGTAACCAAAGTGAATTGTTTCATTTTTGCATGCTCACATCTGTCATCGGTAAAAAAAGTTAGACGTACAAAACCGAAATACATTTACGTACATTAGATGGCACTTCATAAGTTGGATAACAAATATCCGTCTCCCCTTATCTTTCCTTCAGTGGAAGGAACAAAATGAATTTCATTTGAGCTTTTCTAATGGACATTCGGAATTCAAATTTTTCACGTAACGGTTGAAACTCTGCTCGAGGTTGGTGCGTTGGTAGATGGCCCTTCGGCTAATTCAGAGGATGACGGAATTTAATCTTCAGAGAAGGTAGCCTGAAAGAAATCATCTTGTCCAGTGTCGGTTAAAATACCAGTTAATTCGTCGAATTTAGTCAATGTTTGGTAGGTCTAGGTGGGATTAAAAACGTTAAACCGACTGTGCCGTTTATGAATTTCTTTCAAATTTAATCGCACATATCAGAATTCTCTTCCGCCAAGTCATTTATCACATCGCTCATAACAGGACGAGGTTTGAAGCAGTTTTAAAAACTGTCACACTGTCACGCGAATCACGCAGATCAGAGACCAACTGCAAAAAAGTTCGCGTTTCTAAAAATTAAATAAGAAAGTAAGTTTTGTCAGAAAGCGCTCGCTGGCGACAGGGATGGAGAAGTAACTAACTATGGAAACCTAGGAACTTTGTTCCATTCACTTGGTCAATATGACAGGGCCTTAGAATATCAGGAGAAATATAATTTTCAACTTTTAATAATTCGGCTAATCGCTTGGTGCACTGCTTTTCAAGTTTAAATCGCCTGCCCGAATAAAGAGATTATATAAACTCAAATAGATGACCGATGCTGTACATTCTTAGGAAAATTCCTCTTTGCAAGAGTGGTTCAGGTTTAATTTTCCCCTTTCCCTCCCCTCCCTAAAAGAGGTATAATTTCTCACTTACATGAAGCGAGATCCTATCGATCATGACATCACGTGATTTTTACAATATTTCCGTCTTATTTAGATTAACACCCTTAAGAGATAAACGAAGATAGCAGTATGTTGTCTTTTAAGGGTACAACTCTGATCAACTCAGCCGTTCCTCTTATTTACCAACTTTGTCTTCGATGACGCAAATCGCATTTACTGGAAAATGAACAGCTCATGAAGAGACAGTCATCGAGCACAAATAGCTTACCGTTTCAAGACAGAAGCTCCAATTCAGTACTGTAACAAGTCTTGATTGTAATTTTGGGTTAAAAATCCAACGGCTCTTTCAAAACAATGTGTACTGAGACCGGATGTTACCTGCAACAATAGTGAATTGTTTCATTTTTGCATGCTCACATCCGTCATCGGTAAAAAAGTTAAATGTACAAAACCGAAATATATTTTTATCAGATGGCGTCGCTTTAAAAGTAGGATAACAAATATCCATCTCTCCTTATCTTTCCTTCATTGGAAGGATCAAAATAAATTTCATTTAAGATTTTGTAACGGACATTTGGAATTCATATTTTTCACAAAATGGTCGGAATTCTGCTCGAGGCTGGAGTGTTAGTAGATAGCCCTTCGGCCAACTCAGAGGATGTCAGAATTTAACCTTCAGAGAAGGTAGCTTGAAACAAATAATCATGTCCAGTGTCGGTTGAAATACCAGTTAATTCGTCGAATTTGGTCAGTGTTTGGCAGGTCTAGGTGGGGTTAAAAACGTTAAACCGACTTTGCCGGTTATGAATTTCTTTCAATTTCTATCGCGCCTATCAGAATTCTCTTCCGCCAGGTCATTTATCACATCATTTATAAGTGAACGAGGTGTGAAACAGTTTTTAAAACCGATGCTCCAAGCCAAACTCTTAGTCTATGTCAAGGCAAATTAATGGAAGTGAATCAGTTGTTTTCAAAGACAGTACTTACCACAACCTGAAGCCTTCAGTGCCCTGTTAAGGAAATAATTTTAATCATCTCTTTTCGTCCTTTAAGTTTTTTGTAACACACATCATACGTCAGTCATACCAGGCAGCCAATAAAATGTGGTTGTCTATTTCTGTTCGACTGTAGGTTCCACAGTCATTCTCTTCCCCAAGCCCGCAGAACGTAACGGCCAAACGTAAGCGCCAGTAGAAAAAGTCCTTTTTAAAAGTATTATAAATTACCTATTAATTTTGCCCGCTTGTCGTTGGCCAATTTACGTAGGATTTTTATCAGACCAAGCGCAGGACAATCTTTTATTTGTGGAGCGTTACTCTAATGTATGCACCGGGCCCCTTTTCACTGACAATTCACTTGGCGAGGAAACTGTGAGAAACTATCTAACATAAACATGGAGATATTCTCCACCGTTAGATTCGAATTAATTAACAACCTGGTAGCTTATGAGCCAAGCGAGGAAAACGAATGAATTCGCTCCAAGGACAACTGGAGAAGAATCAAGGAAGTAAATTAATTTGTTTGTTCTCATGCTAATTGTCCTTCAGTAATTCGTTAGGGGGAGGAAGCTTTCTCTCCTCTTCTCCTTCAGACCTTCTCTCAGCCTCCAGGACCTTTTCGAACGAACGGAGAGAAGCCTGGGGCGAGCAAGAGGAAGCAGGTGAGGGTGCCAAGCCTCAGATCGATGCTTTTGGACGATTCATTCAGATTTCTGATGTGAATGCTAGGTTTTCATGACAAGAGAATTTCTAGGTATTCAGTAGTTTTTCATGTAGATATTTGTGCTTTTAACCCTTTGAACTCTTGGAGTGACCAGCATTTCATTTCTCCTCACAATACTACTACTAAGTCACTCATTAAGATAACGAGAATATGGCAAATGATCACCAACTTAGGAAGCTTTGGTTGTTAAACAAATTCTCTTTGTTAGTACCAGAAGAATTACACAGAGAAAAGTCTAGAGAATATAGATACTGATGTTTGGCTGTAGAGAGGTTTAAGTTTCTGTCAATGCAAAATGATCAAACTCATTCTGGCATTAAAAACAAATCATGTACGTTGATATACGCTGCTCTGAAATTTGTAAATATCTCTTGATAAAGTAACTCTTCGTTTAAGTCTTGTTTCAATTGTATTATATATCTTGATAACTTTGCAATTGATTATTTAATTATTCAACGGACTTAATTTTATTTTTTTTTTTTATTTAACAATTGTATTTTTATTAATGATTATCTTTGTTTAATTGTATCGGTATGTGATCCTTAGCAGAGACAGCACTTGTTTTAGAAGGGTGGCCCGCCTAGAATAGCTTGCTAATTGCGGGTCACCTAGGACTGTGATAATATTGTATTGCTAACAAATAAAATTGAATTGAATTGAATTGAACAGAAAGCACATCTTGCACACCATTACTTTCAATGAGGTAGGAAATAATACATTTACCCTTTCATTCCCAATATCTCAGTAGTAATTCTCCTTACTATCTCTTATACAATTCTTATGATGTTAGTTTAGAGAATTTTGTATTTGACGAACTTATAGTCCCATAATTAAAATTTGTCTTTATTCTCATCACTTGTCTGCTTGATATTGTATTGATACAGTTAGGAGAAATTTTGTCTTGGTCATTTACAATGAATGAGAGTTGAAGGTTTATGCTGACATGAGATATAATTCTCAACCAATTGTTCCCATTAACAAAAGGCAAACAAACCAATGCTAGTAAATGTTTCTTTTTTTTATTGCTTATGTTTTCCAAGTTACAGGTTAGTATTAACAGTATTTCCATGGCTGTCCTGAACATATGAAGAAGCAGAAGCCACTAGGGAACTGATACTATCTACTCAACATTCTATCTGTCAACATCACGAACACAGCCAAACATTAATCTTTAAAGAAATTTCTGATTTTAAGGTAAACATAATTAGTCCTAAAGTTTACCACAAAACAGTGTTCTTAGTTAGATCTGAATCAGCCTTCACTTTGGTGGTTGTTTTCTAGATCTTACTTGGTAATAAGAGTAAACTTATATATATGCAAACCCCAATGCTAAGGAGTAAGTTCTAGAAACCATGCATATGTATCTGGTCTGGTTTAGCCAGTTTCAGCTGTCTCAGAAAATCACTGATATTCTGACGCTGGTCACCTTGTAGCTGTATCACCTCCCCATATTCTGAGTTTTCAACAACTGTTCCATTGCAGTTGAATTCCTGCAAAGGCAAAAAAAGGAAAAATATTGAACACATGGCCCTCATTGTTTCAAGGGTAGTTACCACTATCTACTGCACTTTCATGCTACAGCTTGCTTGCATTCAGAATATGGTGGTTTTAGAACACACCCAATGAAACAGGACAGGTTCCTGTTTAGGACCAAGTTAGGTATATAGATTAAGACTCTCCCTGTAACACATGAAGGGTTAGAGAAGCCAGCCACATTAGATTTATTCCTAAAAACATCAATAGAGATAACAGAATTGAAATTCCTTACACATGAATGCCTACTATCAAAAAGCATGATAGCTGACCAGTAACAAAGTGAACCTATAGGGGAAACAATGTCTACTACTCAGAATAACAACGAGGATCAAAATGCACTAATGACAGCGTGCCATAACCAACCAATAACATCAAACCAAGGTGCCTAAAATAGTGACAAATAAAATTTCAACCTCGTCATCTAACAAAGACTGGCCATATAGCATTTGAAATGTCACAATCAATACACAATTGTAAAGCATGTACATGGGGCGAGCGATTTTTTCACTTTACTCCAGTTCTTGAAACATCCCAAGTGGGTTATTATACCAGTTAACCAATAGTAATTATGGTCGCTTGCTCTATAAAATAAACTTAAAACACAGCAACAGCATGTTCTAATTTTCTACAGGTTACCACTCCAATAAAACTAGGTTTATAACCAATCAGGGCACTTGAAAGTACTTCAAAAACATTTACAAATTCCAAGCTATTCTCAAATTGACCATAAAGTCCATTCTCCTTGATTGCAAGTGGTTTAAAAAACTCCTATTTTCCACTTATTCCTTTGCCAAGATGTTGTCAGACAGTTTGTAATAAGAGTTTGTTATCGAAGAGTTCAATAGGCCAATCACATTGAAAGTTGTAGTTTAAATCAACCAATCACCTTCGAAGTTTCATTTTAAATCAACTAATCACATTCAAAGTTGTATTATACATCAACAAATCAAATAATTAAACAATTTAGGCCTACTCTGTCAATCTTTTAATGCAAATTTGCCCCTTCTTTCATAACTTGGCTCTTCTTACTTTCTGGGAAATTGTAATTATCATTACTGATTGGACCGAATTGGACAACACTAAGCCATATTATGACTTATTGTCATAATTATTATACTTGTGATGAAAAAATTGGACTCCCACTAAGTGGCTGTCCTGTTTTGTTATCGCTTGTATGATTACAGACCGAATTGGACTCCACTCAGTCCTATTACCATCACAAATTAATTCACTTATAATGTTGGTACATGAATTTGAAAACTTTATTTTCAATTCATTGTCTTGCTCTGAAACAAGCAAAAATACAGTACAGTTTAGAACATAAAAGTAAATTGCTTGTGTTGAACCAGACTTTAAAAAATTGACAAGTTTCTGGTAAACAATTGATTGCATCATTCACGTATCTCATTAGCATTTTTATATGAAGATCTATGCATTACTGCCCTGGGCACAAATCATTTGTCACCAAAAATCTGCACCAAGTTTCGAACCAGTTCTTTTTGGACCATGACCGTAGTTTACCGCGGAAGACTTTGAGGAAAAACTTCTCTTTTTTTAAACAAAAATCAAACGTATAAGGAAAGGAAATTAAATATGCATAAAAAAAGTTGCGACTGTGCAGAAACAGTTCACGAAAATCAAGGAAAGAGGTTTAGTTATAGATTTTGTATAGAATCGCATCCTGTCCCTGACACTTCATAGCGACCGTAATAGAGCTACGAAATAAATGAAAGTATTAATACACATATTTCCATGCTTCAACTTGGGGCTAAGACTTGCTTTGGGTCTATTAGGCTCAATTTAGTACGAAATTTGACAATTTTATTTCAGCAAGTCGTACATTGATTTCTTGTCGATATTCTTGTGGTAGAAAGTAAAAGTATGCTTGTCAAAATAAGATCTGATTGCCAGTGTATCGAACGGATTTGCAATACGCCAATTTCTCTAAGAAATGTAGCGTTGAAATGCTTTACACTCGCCATGATCATGAGCGTTTGAACAAACCTTTTTGAAAGCTTTCACAAGTTTCTTCTTGTCATAGCATTCTTCGATTCCTTGTACCGTGGTCAAAGTTTTACGACCATTTCTCTGTTGTATGCGGATGTGTATTGGTTGGGTTTGAGCTGATATTTCATCGGTACCCTTAGAAGCATCCGAGAAGGGATCTAGAAAATGAGAGACAGCAGAGAGTTATCTGTTAAACAGTAGTTGAAGCTTGAACCTAATAAGGCGAAAAAAGTGCCGAAGAAAGAGAAATTACCGTAAGTTTGGAGATTCTGGATTGACATGCGAATTTCTTGAAACCAACCTGCTGGAAATATCGTTGAAATGGAGGTGGATGTTCACGATTCGTGAAGATTTTCTTGACAGTTTCCGCGTTAGTTGTAACTGTGAAGTTGATGGCAGAGCACAGACCGAGCGCTACAAACGGAACTGATGTCATCAAACGTCATCAGTCATGTGACATTCAGACAGGTTCTATTTCGTTTGCTCAGTCAATGCGAGAAAAACCCCGAATTGCTGCCATTAACCAATAATACATTATTACTTGAGAATTTTTGAGCGGTTTCAGCCATCTTAGTACTTTTGGTTTCGTTTCCCTTCGTTTTAATTTGAAAATTGGCGATCGTTTAAACAGATGAAACCGCTATGTTGCGAATGACCGCAGGCTCAGAATAATGGCTTTCATCCGAGGACACTCAGCGGAACATGTAGCAAGCGATATGTAATCATGAACAGTACTGGTCTAAAAGCTCCTGAAATCAGAGTGGTATGCAAACATGCACGATGCATTTGAACATGCAGTTATCCTGGAGAAGCTGCCATTGCAAATAGATTGCATAGCTACTTTTGGTAAGATCGGAAATTATGGAATACTCCGTGATAAAATAACAGCTAAAATTTCTCTTGAAACTAAAAGCACACTTGTACAGCTTTTAGCCATCAGCTGTTGGTCAAACTTTGACGGGTAATGTTTTAATGAGCAGTCTTATAAAATCTGGATTCTGTGTTTTGTGTTTCAGAGAACACGTTTAAATTCTAATTTATAATTTTCTTATTTGTGACATGACCAACGTTGCCTCAAAGCACTTATTATAATCTAGAAATGAAATCACTCATTCTTTATATGATAAGCCGAGTCAGTATGTACCACACAGATGAGTAGTGCTTTTGGCATGCATTGATTGACTGGTTTGGAAGTGATTAGCAAGTACCAAGTACTATTTACCTCTGAGCAACCTAAGAGACAAAAGTGCAGGCCAACAATTTAATTTCCTATCATTTTTGGTATATTGACAGAAATAAACTAACTTTTTTGGTTTCTGTGTGGTATATACAAAAGAATTTTCACCTCAGTGTCGGTGAAAATGGTGGATATTTACCTCACTACTTCACAGCTTGGTAAATATTCACCTCCACTTTGGTTAATAACTGTTAATTTTACACTCACTGTGATTGGTTTTTACCAATGATCTATAACAGTACAGATGCGTGGATGATTTTACTATTGATGGCATTTTGTTTTTGTATCAAATAAAACAGATAGAATCTAGAACCAACACACCATCAATAAATTTAAGGGGAATTTAACTTGCTGATGACTCAACCAAACTCTCTTACTTACAAATCATTGCCAGTGGGGTGGTTATAATTTCTGACGATTTTGGAATATGACTGGCATAAGAATGTTACCTGCAATTACATTACAACTCACGCTTACACCTTTTATTTGCATTATCTGTGCAAAAGTCAAACTTATATGGATAACCACACAGATTGGGGCTAGGAGGGGGATTGGTTTTGTACAGAATCCATGGTGCTGTGGTTCTGTATAGTAATAGTACGCAAAATTTCAAAATGTGGTTGAACATCATTGACACATTTCTTTTGTTCTTACCACGTCTTGATGTTGTCTTTGATCTATTAGTGAATAGACGTCCATCAACATGGACTCTATTTGTTAAATGGGTCAACTGGGTTGCAGAATAACAACTGGGGAGATGTGTTTTACCAATTCATCCTCTCAGGAAATGTGGTTAATATTTGTTTCAGGGGACAATCTTCTTGTTGGAACAAGACAGGGGCACTTGCTTTTGTATGGTGTTTTAGATGGCACAGGTAATAAAATTCTGCTACACCCACAACAAATTTTTAAGGCTTTTTAGTGTTCCCCTGAAGCAACTGCCACCAGTGATTTCATCAGCTTTTTTTTCCAAACAACTGTCTACTCTAATTAGGAGAAACCATAAAAGACTTGTCTTGATCCGAAATAGATTATAACCCTTGCTTTGGTTTCAAATGTATCGCAGAGGATTAAATAAAACTGGAAAGGAAACAGTGAGTAAAAATAAGAGGATCAGGTTCTAGCAGAATTGATGCTACACACTCACTTGTTTACTGCCAACTGTTGCTTTTTCATGTCTGGCTACTTAACCTCTTACACCTAAGCATCAGTATTGATATTCTCCATACTCTGCCCTTTATTCTTGTGACCTTTATAAATGATTCAGCTGTATTACTATAGGGAGAAAATAGATGCTGGTCACTAGCATTTCAAGGGCTTAAAAATCTGTGAAGAACACTGGCCTTTTGCGCTGATAAGAAATATTGTCTTTGTTGTTATTTCCTAAATTGGCTGACTGCTGTCCTTCCTGAAAGAAAGGTTACAGCAGTTTTCTTGTCATGGGGTGTGGCTCTGAAAGGAAGTGTTGGACCAGTTGCCTTGGTGGAATCCTGTGGGAGCCCTGTGCAGTTATAGACTCTAAAGGGACTGATGATAATTCATTCTTTCTCATCTTTAATTTTGTTTCTGTTAAAAATAGGTGACAACAGGTTTGACGTGGAGCTACGAAGCTCCAACAAATTGTTCTCAAAGAAGCCTATATCACAGGTAAGTTATACAAATAACATACAACACTATGATGCTGTAATGGCTAATTCTCTGAGCGGTTTTATTGACAAAGGTATTCACTGATTCATTGAATTTTTGCAACTCAATTCCTTTTTATAATAAGTCAACTTATTGCTCTTGCTGTAAGGTCTTAACCATTGCCTGGCTACCTCAGGTGGTAGAACGTTGGTCTGCCATGTGGGAAGTTGAGGGTTCAAGCCTTGACCAGACCAACACTTAGGATCCTCAAACTAGTGAGGAGAATGTGCTGCCTTTGTTATGGCGTCTGCAAGTGGTAGACATTCTAGTCTTAATCAATGAAAGCTGTAGGTTCCATCTCTTGCTTCCTGTTTGTTCTGGTTGGAAGGGGACTTGTGAAAGAACCCATGCAGTTCTTACAGATTAGGGAACATATTTTCTGGTCTAGCCTTGTTTCCAAAATTTTCACAATTGGGGTTATCTACAAAATTCCCTTTCAAAAATTATAAACCGCTCAGTGCAATATGGAAAGTCCTCCTGCAAAGTATTGTTAAGTGCATCATAGCATAGTAGTATAGATAATGTGCTTTATGAAAATGTCACATCATCATCATCATCATCATCATCATCATCATTTAACCTTTAACTCCCAATATCTCATTAGTAATTCTCCTTATGATCTGTCATACAGTTCTTGTGATATTAGTATGGAGAATTTGGTATTGGATCAACCTATAATCCATAATTGATATTTTTTCTCTTTATTCTCATCACTTGTCTGCTTGACATTGTATTGATATTGTAAGGAGAAATTCTGTCTTGGTCACTCATGGGAGTTAAAGGTTTAAGGTTGGTTGGGTTGATGGAAAATAGGGTAAACAGAAAAAAGTGATTGTGTTTTCCAGCCAACCACTGTTTTTTCCCCTGCTTTTCTCTAATTACTAATAGCTGGAACAGTCTGGAAGACAGTGTACAAACTTTTGTAACGTAGCCAATGAATGGGATTGTTAGGATCCTTACAACTCTGACAGCTCTCCAACTTTGATTCTGTTGCTGCCTGAGAGCATTCAAGTCTGACTAAAATAATTGTTTTGAATTCAAACTTATAATCATTTTTTTTATATTTTCTTGCAGTTAGCAGTAGTTGAGCAACTGAATCTACTGATAAGTTTGTCAGGTAATGCGAGGAGAGTGAAATAAATTTTTTAACTTTACAAATTCATGTCATATGTTGGTATTAACCCTTTAGCTCCTAAGAGTGACTAGTATCTAATTTCTCCTTAACAATATCATCCCTGAATCAAACATGAAAGTTGTGAGAGTAGAGAAGATGATCACCAACGGAAGCAGCTCTTGATTGTGAGAGAAATTCTCCTTGTCAGCCTCTTTGGAAATGTATAGAGAACAGTATGGAGAATATGCATACTGATGTTAGGGTGTAAGGGGTTAAATTGAGCCCTCTGCAAGTGTCAGGTTTCTGTGTCATACTTTTGGATTATTTTATACATTAGTTTGTCGTTTAATAATTTCAACAGTACGATCTCATTTTGATAGTACTTATTAGTGATATACCGGTACATGTAATTTGGAAATTTACTAATTCTGGTATTTTTTCACTCAGATTCTGTTGTTAGTGTACATAACTTGGAGACCTTTGCTCACAAGTTTACCTTGCACAAAACAAAAGGAGCCAGTGTTTTTGCTGTGGATATAAAGGTTAGATTTAGTAATAAGTTAGTTTTATCAACTGAGTTGATAATTAATTATAAAAATAAAATGTAAATTGGCCACCGTAAAGAGTTTTCAAAGATTTTAACAGTGTGTAAAAATTGTGGTAACTCCTGCACTTAAACCATATTGTTGCCTAAGCAGAGTTTGGAGGCTATTTTGAAGTATCTTGTTTGGACAAAATTCCACTTTGAGTGGATTACATATATATATATATTTTTTTTTAAAATTTTTTTAAAATTTTTTATTTTTTTTGGATCTTTACACTGAGATGACAATTGCAACTCTCCCTGGAAGATACCAAGTCACTCTGACTGGCAAATTTCTTCAGTGAAGAAAGTTGATTTCATGGAATCACCTCTTCCATAAGTAAACCCCTTTGAAGAAATTAAGTTGTCAGTATGTTTGGTTTCAAACTTCTATTTTTCCTTCATTTTAACAGGAAAGGAAACAATCCTCAGTGTTTGGTAAGTTTAAAGATTTTCCAAATATCTGTTCAGGTTTTCCATGTACACTGTTACTTTGTTAACCCTTAAACTCATAGACATGATTAACATGAAACTTCTCCCTATAATATCCATACATTATTCAGCAAACAGGTAATGAGAATATTCAGACTTCTCAGGTACTTGTAGAAGCTGCTATCTTGCTCTAGCACCAAGTTCTCATAACTAATTTACAGGAAATGTGTAGCAGCTACAGGGGAGAATTAACAATCAGATTTTGGGAGTTATGAGTGAACTTAAGAAAACCAGCCTGAGATGTATGTTTCAATCCAGCTCCTGTTCTCTTGGTCACTCCTGACACCTCATCACCAGAGCCTA